CCCCCCCCCCCCCCCCCCAGACCCACAGCTCCATGCTGGCTTACTTAGGCAGCGGCAGCTCAGGGATGTGATCGATCCGGACCAACTGCCTGATCCGAAAACGGCAAAGGTGCTGGAGAGATTTGACATTGCTGAACCTGGAGACGGGATACAGGAGCTGGACGGGCGTCGGAGGGAGACCTTGGGGGGGTTAAAACCACAAAAAGCAGCGTCGGCCTTTCAGCGTTTTGCAAAGGAAGCAGCAGTTGCAGGGCAGGGCTCCGTGGGGGGGGGGCCCCCCCCCCCCCCCCCCCCCAACCAAAGCATCACTTTGCACTGAGGTGCAACAGGCTTCAGAAGGAAGCAGAGCAAAGCCAAAGGGAGAGGGGGCAGGGGCTGCAGGCAGCACGTAGGCTCTGCTCTGCACAGCCCCTGGAAGGGCTCCGTTGAGGCATTACGAAGCTGTGGGTTCGGTCAGCACGAGGGCTGCTCATTCCTGAGGTCACGAGGCTGGGCACAAAGGCAGAGCAGAGCTGTGCCAGCACCCCCCCCCCCACGCAGGAGTTGTGCCCTGCCCCCGATTTATGGGCAACAATTGAGCCCCACAGCCTGGAGGTGGGCAGCAGCAGCAGGAAGGATGTCTGGGAGCCGGGCTCATTCGCTGCACAAGGTTTATCCACCTTCACAGAAGGATTCAAAGCCGGTTAATGCTCCAGCCCCCTCCTGCTGGCTTGTCTCTGAGGACAAGGAGAAAAGGGAAAGCTCTTCACACTAAGATGGGCTCAGAACTGCTGCGGGCAGCTCAGGATGCTGCGAGCCAGCTTTTCAGAAAGCAAAGAACAGCCGTCAATTGAAGGCTGGATTCCCCCCCCCCCCTCTTCTGACTCTCCTACCAGAAAGGAATCTGCCTCTGGGAGCTCAGCCAGCACAGCAGGGACACAGCATAGGGAATACAGGGAACATCCCCTCCTCGAGCAGCAGCACTGCACTGAGGGCTCAACAGGGAGCTGCAGAGCTCAGCACCACCCCCACCCCCCAGGGAAGATCTGGCAGCAGCGTGGGGCATTACACCCAAGGGTGGCTCTCAGAATGGCACCCAGAGCAAATCTGCTCAGGGATGCACCCAGAGCTCCCAGAGAGCCCCATTCTCAAGGGAACAGATCCTAAGATGCCTCCCAGCCTCTCTCCAAGCTCTGCTCTCTGTCTCAAGCACAGGATGCTCGTGGCACGCTGCCGTCTGTACCCACAGCAGGAGCTGCCCCTCGGTCCTGGTGGGATGCTCACCTGGAACCCTGGATCGGAGGAAGTACAGAAACTTCCCGTTTTTGGAGTGCATGATGGCTCTCTTGATGAACTCCACCACAGATTGGCAGCGGTCTTCAAACTTGGGATGGCACCACAGGCTGAAGGTCCCTGCCAACAGGACACAGGAGTCTCACATCACCGGGGAGCTGCTGCTGGCTGCAGGAGATCCACACTCACCCATAGGCTGGGTGGCAGCTCTGCAGCCTCAAACAGGGCACGCTCAGCTTCAATGGTAAGCAATGAGACTGCAGAGCAGGAAAGCAGGCCCCCTAGCTGCATGCAGATCCCTACATAGGCTGAAGCCTCTGGCCAGACCGTTCTCTTGCATGCAAGCAGGCACTGCCTGCTTCTTGCACCAGGGAGCAGCACTCCCTGCTACGGAGCTGCAGCCAAACCGTAGGTCTTCAGCATCATATTCCTGCCCAGTGGTGTCGTGGATGAGCAAAAACATCCCTGGCTTTGCAGCATCTGGAAGAGGCAGCGCCGCACTCACAGCCCACAGCCAGCAGAAGGGCTGCACTGAGCTCACAACACCCAAAACGTGCTTCTCTCTGCACAGCCTCTGGGAAGACCCCCAGGCAGAGCACTGGAGGAACAGGAGTGCCCACTGAGCACTGGGAGCCAGCGAGCTCCGATCTGAAGGGTCAGAAGCATCACCACCTTAGAGGTGGCAAGCAGATGCAATCCCAGCAGGGTCACTGCACAAACACCAGCGGCCTCCCTGGGCTGCCTGCTCAGCTCTCCTATTAAAAAAAAAAAAGACAAAAATCCCAATTTCTTGCTCACATCTACCTGAAACCTGAAGGTCGAGCCGTTATCTATTCACCATTCCCTCAGCCCCCACCATTTCTCATCCCCATCGGTCCAGCAGAGTGCTCAGCTCTGCAGTTTTCCACTCTGCTGCAGCACGAGGCCATCGCAGCAGGGCTGAAGCCACTGATGCTGCTCCAGGGATGCAGCTGGAGCAAAGGGAAGGGCACCGCTGTGGCTCCTTGAGCTCAGAGCATCCCAGAGCCACCCCCAGCCCTCACCTCTGTAGTGCTCCATCCTGGTGTGGTGGGTGATGCCCTGCGATCGGAAGCTGAGGCTCAGGATGTAACGGGGGTCAGAACTGTCCCGCACCAGAAAGGATCCGTCTGGTTTCCCTTTCAGCTTCATCTCTGCGTCCTCCCAGTTCATGGGTCCCCAGTACCACCCGCACTGCAGGCACAGCCAATATCCGCTCTCGTTAATTCACTTTTATACCTAAATTTCATTTCCTGCTTCTATTCATCCCAAGCGTGGACTCATTGCTCCTGGATCACAGAATTGTAGGGGTTGGAATGGACCTGCAGAGATCATCGAGTCCAACCCCCCTGCCAAAGCAGGTTCCCTACACCAGGTCGCACAGGTCAGCATCCACCACTGCATTTACCACCCAGAAGTGGGGAAAGAACACGAGATGCGTTCCTTCACTCACCCAGGACCTCATTGGGGGGTGTTTTCTGGTCCTGCCTCAACTTTGTGCCCCCAACCAACTCCAAAAGCAGCTCCCAGAGGGCTGGAGCAACCTCTCCTGAGGAAAGGCTGAGGGTGCTGGGCTCGTTGGAGAAGGCTCTGGGGAAAACTCACCTCCCAGCACTTACAGGGAGCTCATAAACAGGAGGGAGAGCGACTTCTCACACAGACTGCCAGTGACAGGACAAGGGGGGGGATGACTTCAAAGTGAAAGAGGGGAGATTTAGGCCAAATGTGAGGTGGAAATTCAAGACTCTGAGGGTGACGAGGCTCCGGCTCGGGCTGCCCTGAGAGCTGTGTGCCCCATCCCTGCAGGTGCCCATAGACCCAGATGGGGCTCCGGGCAGCCCATACAGGGGTCAAACCCTCCCACCCCAAATCATTCCACCCACTTACAACACAATTCAAAACACAGAGCCCTGCCCCACTGCCCTTCCCTCCCCACATCTCCCCATGCAGATCCCACCTTCTCCAGCTCTCGCAAGCTGGCTGCAAAGCTGCTGGAGTCCGGGCGGTACAGAGGGCACTGGAGGTGGGGGGTGGGCTGGCTGGGTGCTGCTTCTGTGGGTCGGAGGGGAACGATGCGGGGGAAGGCATCTGCAGAGGGAGGGACAGCACAGTGCAGTCAGTGCTGAGCTGCTCGGGCCCCAGAGCACTCAGCTCTCAATGCAGCAGGCAGAGGAGGAAGCTGGACTGACAGACAGGAGGACAGCATCCTCGTGAGGTGTCAAACAGCTCTTCCAAGGTGACTCAGCACCTTCACCCTGCTGTTTGTTGTGCTAGCTGGGAGGGAAGGGAAAAGCACCAAAGGAAGGAATTAACCCATCCCAACACAAAGGGCCAATTAAAGGTCCTTGGGGTCCTTTAGGGCAGGAAACCAAAGGGGAAGTGCAAAGGAAGCCCTAGAGCTGCTCTGACCTGGGGCGTGGGGCGGAGGAGGCGGAGGCAGAGGGAAAGACTGCAGGGAAGACCCCATCGGACCCACTAGGACAGATGTAGGCAGCGTCCCACTGATATCATCTAGGAGAGAACAGAGGCAAGAGGCATTCAGATGAAAGGAAAGCAAGCGAGCTCTGCGCTGCTGGCAATGAGCAAACTGGCACTGAGCACCGGAGGGGGAGCACGAGATGGAGCTTGTGATGCTCCACCAGCTTCTGGGAGCAGCCCAGCAGCCTGCACCCTTAAAGCAAAGGAGTTAGTTAGTTTTCCAGCCTGGCTACCTCCATGCATGCAGCCTGCAGCACAAGGCAGGTGTTTATAGCAGGTTTTGCCTCCCTGGCACACGCGATGTGCGCTCAGCAGGGCTGCCATCCTGAGCACAAAGATGCTCAGCAACCACGCCGAGCTCATGGTGCCCAAAGTGTGAAGCACAGCAGGGACCTACAGAAGATGCTGATGCTATGGAGGAGCAGCAAGAAATGCTGTGGGGCAGCAGAGAGAAGCCCTGCACCCAAACAGACCACGTACCCAGCAGGCTGAGGCTTCGGCGAGGAGGCGGCGGTGGAGTCGGGGGGTGAGGGGAGCTCAGTCCTCTCTGAGAGATGTCCACGTCCACCAGAGACACTGTTTCACCTGGATGATGGCAGAGGGAAGACTGTGAGCACCAGGGGAGGCAGAGGGGCAGGGGCAGCAGATCCAGTCAGCTCTTGGTCAGGTTTTGCATGCAGGTGACTCAGGTGGTTTAAGAGAAATACATCTCAGCCTACAGGCCATGAAGGGATCAACTCTTGACGTTCACAAGGGAGTGGGGTAGAGCCTAAAGGCTCTGACCTCGGGACAGAGCCTGGGGAAAGCAACGATATGAAGATGTCCAAGGTGAAGTGGGAAAGCTTGAGCTTACTCCAAAATCGTGGGAGAAAAAACGAAGCCATCAAACCCCACTTAAAGCCTCAGCACTGCCCCAATAAAGAAGCAACTGCCAACAACCAAAGTGCCGCTGCCACAACGGAGGCATCGGTCAGAATTCAGCCCAACCAGCTGCCAGCCACCAGCAGCACCGAGATCTCTGCACCCACAGCCTCAGAGACCACTTCAACCCCCCCCAATGTGCTCCAGCAGCAGCAACAGCAGCAGCTCCCCGACCTCCTGCAACCTGCCCTGACGCTCAGCATAGGACAGCACTGACTCAGCTTCTTCCTGCCTGTGAAAGCTCTCTGCCCATTAATCAGTATCATTAGAGGGCTATTTAGGTGCAGTCCTTACCCGAGGTGCTTTCCCCCGGGGCTCTGTGGGTGTAGATGCACACGTGTGCATGCAGATGCTCTTTCATTTCCACACCCTGCCAACAGCGTCCAGGTATGCTGGGCTGCTTCAAACGAAGCTGAGAGGTGCTGAGGTGCCAGCAGGTGCAGGAACTACAAACCCTACGCTCCCATCTTCCCCCAGCAACAGCTGATAGAGCAGGAGCAGCCCTGGCTTTGAGCAGCCCTGCTGCTCAATGAACACAAGTGGCACCCAGGAATCTGAATCCTGCAGCGCTCAGCACACGTTTGCCCTCCAGAAGACCAGAGTGCAGCCCCTTCAAATCCTTACCTGTGAAGAGGGGGCTGAAAACAACCGGGGAAAAGGCACTTTGAGTTCTTGTCAGTCTGTGTTTCCTGTTGGAAATACAAAATAATGGGGGAGGGGGATGAAATCATGAACGGGCTTCATTTGATCTTTTTCGGGCTGGGAGAACCCTCAGCAGGATGCACCCAGCCTGCAGACAGCAGCATGTGCTGATCCAACCCCTGGAGCAGAGCTCTGGTTTAAGTAGGACAGCCAACCAGCAAGGCCAGGGCTCCGTCCTGCTGCTAAGCAAATCTCTGGCAAGGTGATTAATCAAGTCTTAGGAAAGAAAACCCCAAGCAAGTGTGGTTGCTGGAGCCAAGAAGCTGTTTCACAACAGGCAGCGCTGCTGCTCCAAACCCAACACTGCCGTGTGCCTCAAACACACTGCATGATCACAGGCACTTTGGGAGCACTCTGCTGAACCTGGAGCTGAGGGAACTCATCTCAATATATAAAAGCTCATCCAACTGCTTCCTTTTCAGGTCTCTCGTGCCTGTTTGGGGGTTCAGCTGCTCCCCAGCTCCCAAAGGAGGACGATTCATCGGTGATCAGCCACACACTCCTCAAAAACAGACTTCAGATCAACACCTGCAGCAGGATGACAGCTGCCCTGGCCAACCAGAGCCACGCAGCACAACCACAGCCTTCCCACACCACCATCGCACAGAGATGAAGCACCAAACAAGGTCAGGTCAGCCCTCCAACTCAGAAGCCTGGGCTGCTGAGCCGACCGCAGAACCACTGCTAAACCTGCACCGACCCTGGGCTGCAGGTGCAAGAAGAGCAGCCCCACGGATGCAGCTTTCAGAGAGAAGCCTTACGCTGCAGCACGAGGAGCAGCACTGCAGCAGCTCTGAGCTCTTGGGCAGGAGGGCACTCCTGGAAAGCTCTGCCTTTTCTGAGGCCCTGAACCACAACAGCTGCTGCATCAGGCACCTTGAAGTAACCTTTGGTAGAGCAGCAGCACTGTGCTGACCGGGGAAAAGCACAGCAGCTCCGTGGCTGTGATGGAGCTGCTGCTTTTGTGCCCCCTGATCTCAGCACTGCAATGTCCCATAGACCACAGGTTACCATTAGGGACACCCTGATGTTTGGATGGGGCGATGTGGGAGGACTCGCATGGTCTCCATGCACTGCTGAGCCAAACCACGTGTCCTCTGTGATGCAAGGGATAAGGGCCAGCTGTGGGCAGTGCCAGGCAGTGACTGGTGGCTGTGCCCCTCCACGACAGCTTGGCAGCCCCACACCAGGAGGACACAGTGGCCATGGGGTGCAGAGCTGGAGGGAGCAGCTCAGAACCCAAACCCTAAAGGGGATGAGGTTGGAGGGAACCTTACAGCCCACTCAGTTCCGAGCCACGCCACAGCCTGGGTGCTCCCCAAAGGCTGCCCAGGATCCCATCCACCTGCAGGGATGGAGCACTGCATTTTGCTGAAGCCACGGAGCCCAGCAGCACCGCGCAGAGCTGCGGGATCAGCACTTCCAGCATCCCCAGCTGCGACCCCCAGGGAACCCTCTACACCGCAGGAAGGCGCGCAGACCCCCGTACATCCCCCCAAAAGCCGCTCTCCTGCTTCGGCCACGGGGCTCCACGGCCCCTCCTGCACCGCCCGCGCATCCCTGCGCCCCCAGCAGCCCCGAAACCCGCGGTCCCTCCGCTCCGTACCTGCCCTCCTCCTGCCCGCGGCCCCGGGCCCCTCCGCCGTCGCTCAGGCTGTGCGCCGAGGCCGTCAGCTCCGCTCCCCGCCGACTCCCTCCGCTCCCGTCCCCGGGGGCCGACCCTCCGCTGCAGCTCTTGGTGCGGAAGAGGCGGCTCAGGCGGACCCGCAGCGATCCCTTCCTTCCTCCCGCTGCCCCGGGGCCGGGCCCGGCTCTCCGCGCGGCGGCGGCTCCGCGGGGCGGCTCCTGCGGGTCTGCGGTGCCGGGGCTGCCCGGCTCTTCCTCGGAGCAGCTCTCGGCCTCGTCGGGCTCCAGCGCCTCGAGCACCAGCAGCGCGTCGCTCGTCTCCTCGGCGGCGGGCGGCCCGAGACACGGGCAGGCGGCGGGGCCCTTGGTTCCCAGCGTCGGGGGCCGCAGCCCTAGGGCCGCCAGCTGCAGCTCCAGCCCCCCCGGCGGCGCCCAGCCGCCCCCCGCCGCTACCGCCGCCGCTTTGGGCTCCAACGCGCAGCGATGCCGCGGGCACAGCAGCTCGGGGCCGCCCGCCGGGCCTTCCCCGCCGCCCGCCTCCTCCTCTCCGGGCCGGCCCTCGGCGGCGTTACGGAACACCATCAGCTGCGGCGGCGGCCGAGCGGCCCCTCCCGGAGCGGGGAGGGGGAGCGGCAACCGCGCTCCGCCCGGGCCCGGCGGCCCCGCAACCGCCGCGCCGCTACCGGGGCCGCCGGCCGCCCCCGCCTCCGGCCCGGCCCCATAACCCAGCAGGCGGCTGAGCACCCGGTAGGAAGCTGCGGCCGCCGCCTCCCCGTCGCGCAGCTCGACGCGCTGCATCGCTACGGCCGCCGCATGGCGCCCCGGGAGCGGAGCGGTCCCGCCGCCCCCCGCACGGCCGCCGCCACCGCCGCCGCTCCCTCCTCCGCGGGCAGACCGCACGTGGCCACGCCCCTCAGCTTCCGGTCTTGGCCACGCCCCTTCACCAGGCTCCAGTCCACTATCCCCGAGGCCACGCCCATAAGGCACATGGTCACGCCCCCTCCAGACACCGCCCATCATCTGCGAGGCCACGCCCACGCTCTCGAGGCCACGCCCGTGTCTCTTGAGGCCACGCCCACGCCCTTGAGGCCACGCCCCCTAGGCCGAGTGGGGAAATTGAGGCACGGCGCTGCCGTTCCTGCGCCTTCAGTTTCCCCTCAGCCAGGAGGGAACCGGACGCCCCCCATCCCGGGCCGCACGCTGCCCTGCGTGCCCCCCCTCCCCACGTCCATCCCTGCGTGTTTTGGGGGCTCTCGGCACCCTCTGAAGGGGAGAGGGGGAGCAGGATTATGGGATGCTGGGTTCTGGGATACTGGGATAACAGGATGCTGGGATGTTGGGATAACAGGATGCTGGGTGATGGGAAGCGGGATGTGAGGATGCTGAGAGCAGAGGTGCCGAGATAATGGGATGCTGAGATAACCGGATACTGGAATAACAGGGTGCTGTGATGCTGGGATAACAGGACGCAGGGATAACGGGACGTGGGGATGCTGGGATGGTGGCATCACGGGTTTCTGGGGTAACGGGGTGCTGAGATGTTGGGATACTGGGATGACAGGGCAGTGGGATGCGAGGATATGGGGCTGTGAGGCTGTGGGGCCGGCACCCGGTTGCCATGGCGGCCCGTTGGGATGCTCTTCCGTCACGGCCGATCCGGGGGGGGGGTCGTTGAGCTCCCCGCGGCGGAACCGGAGCCCGACGGCAGTACCGGGTGGGGACGGGCGGGGGACGGGGACGGGGGGGTCGGGGCGGTCAGAGCAGCGCCGAGCGCAGCGTGGGGCCGTGACGTCTGCGAAGGAGGAAAACAGGCGGCGGTCGGAGCGCGGCTCGCGGGCACCGTGCCACCATGACCCCCCCGGGGGGGCCGCCGCTCTGGGGCGCTCCGGCCGCCCTCTTTCTCCTCCTCTTGCTGCTGCTTCTTCTGCCGCTGCGGGCAGGGGCTCCGACGACCCCCGACGACCCCCCGACGGATCCGCGGGGTGACCCGGAGGGCTCCGCGGCGCTTTCCTTCCTGCAGACGGGCGACGCGCGGCGTTTGGCCCTCACCAACTGCAGCCGCAGCGCCGCGCTGAGACCCCCAGGGCCCGACCCCCCACCGGCGCTGCGAGCCGCCCTGCGGGCCGCCCCCGAAGCTCTGACCCAGGCGGCCAATTTCCTCAACATGCTGCTGCAGGGCAACGACCTCCGCGAGGCCAGCGTGGCCGAGGACGTGGAATGGTACCAGGCGTTGACGCGCAGCCTGGCGGGGGGGCACCCATGGGCGCGCCGCTCCCTGCTGGCCCTGGACGCCCACCCGGCTGCCCCTTCCCCCCGCCTGGTGCTGCAAGCCACGGCCGTCGACGGGGAGATCCACCTTCGGGACGTGTCCGCGCCGGGGAACCGCAGCTCGGACGGCGAATGGGTGGCGGAGCTGCGGGAACGGCGCGGTCCTCCGCTCCGCAAACGGGTGCTGAGCAACGACCTGCGCTCCATGGAGACCCCCAAGTGGCGGCGGGGCGATGGGTACGTGGCGGGGCCGGGCCACGTGCGGTGGTCGCAGCCGTTCCTCGAGTGCCGAGATGGGAAATTCGTCCCCGTTTGGGCCGTCGCTCTGTCTGCTGCCTTCTATGGGCTGAAGCCCGACCTCAGCCCCGAGTTCAAGTGAGTGAGAGGGGGAGGAGAGGGGTGGGATGGGGAGGTGTACTTGTGTGCATGCATTTGTGTTTGCGTGTGCGTGTGTGTGCGTGTCGGGAAGCGTGTTTGTGCAGCTGTGTGTGCGTGTGCACGTGTGTGAGTGCATGAATATGTGTGTGTGCACGTGTGTGCATGCGTGCATGTGAGACTGCATGCACGCGTGTGCATCTTTGGGGATGCTGGCAGACACACGCGTGTTGCTGTGCATGCACGTGTGTGCAGTGCTGTGCACGTGTGGGTGTGAGACCCTCCCGAGGGGCAGGACCTCTCCAGATGGCTCTGTGTCCCGGCACCCGGTTCTGCCACCGCTGTTTCCCCCCCCCCCCCAACCCCCCCGGTTCCCTTGTGCCCCCTCCCGGTCTGACCCCATCGCGGTTTTGTAGGGGAGCCGTGCGGGTGGACATCGAGCTGCGGGATGTGGGCATCGATCAATGCGACAGCGGGACGGGGTGGTTCGCGGGCACCCACCGCTGCGACCTCAACAGCACCCAGGTACCCAGACCGCACCGATCCCAGCATTAAACCCCCCACTTCCCCCCCCCCCCACCTTCTAGAGCCCTGTCGGATCCCCTCGCGCAGTGGGGCTGCCCCGCTCCCCCCTCCCCCCGTCGCACCGTCCCCTCCGCCCGTCCGTCGGTGCTGATCCGCCCGCCGCCCCCCCCCCGCCCCATCTGCCGCTCCCGCACCGCTCTGCGGTTTATTGTGCAAATCTCCCTCCCTCGGCAGCGCCGTGGGGTGACCCGGCTGCCACCCGCGTCGGGACAGCGGGGACCGATGGGCGGAGCATCCCCGGCGGGGTTGGCGCTGACCCCCCCATCGGCTGCGCCCACCCCAACTCAGAGTTCGGGGCGAACCCGACGGGTCTGAGCGGCGTCCCGACCCCCGGCGGTGCCCCCCCTCCCCCCCCCCCCCATGGATTAGGGGGCGCTCCGCCCCCCCCGGATTAGCAGCGCGCCGCATTAGGTGTCCATTTAGGTTTTAGGGGGGGATTTGGGTGCCAGGCTTTGGCTTTTAATTCCCAAATGTTTAACCGCTGCGTTGCGGGGGAGGTGGGGAGGGGGGGAATCGGCTGTCACCGAGCCGCCGCAGCCCCCGCTGCCCTGTGGGGTTACGAGCGCAGTGCGGGACGACCCCGCAGAGCAGCCGTACCCCTACCCCGCAGTGCGTCCCGCAGCAGAACCGCGGCTTCGTGTTGGGGCAGTACGCGTGTCGCTGCAAGCCGGGCTTCTACGGGCTCAGCGGCGGGGCAGGTGCGTGCCGTGCGACCCCCGACCCCCCCCCCAAGCCCCGCAGGGCGCACGGGGGGGTGCTTTGGGGCCCCCCCACCCCCCCCCCCCCCCCCCCTCGTTCCATCCGCAGTGCCGCCTGAGGATGCCGCTCGCTTGGCGTGCCGCCGGTGCCGGGAGGGCTGTGCGAACTGCCGGGACGATGCGCCCTGCGAGGTGCAGGAGGATCGCGCGTTGCGTGCGGCCGTGCTGTGCTGCCAGGCGTGCTGCATGCTGGCCGTGTTCCTCTGCATGCTGCTCGCTTATCACTGCCGGCGGAGCAAGGCGAGAGCAGCGCGGGGTCCTCACGATCCCATCTCCTCGGGCCTCCCCCCCCCGGAGGGTGCCCCCCCCTCCGGGCCCCGGGCGCTGCTGATGGCCCTCTGTCCCCGCAGAGGATCCGGGCGTCGGGCGTTGTGCTCCTGGAGACGATCCTCTTCGGGTCGCTGCTGCTCTACTTCCCCGTGAGTGCGCGGCCAAATTCCCCCCCTGCTGCCCCCGCACCTCCCTGCAGAAAGCCCCACAGACCTTGGCTGCACCCTGCTGCCATGGGGCACAGCTGGGTCCCACGGGGCTTTGCCGTGGGTCAGGACTGGCGCCACGCAGGACACAGCACTGTCGGCATTGCCGTCACAGATCTGACAGCTGTGGGCAGAATCTTCTTAGGAAACCAAACCTCCTTCCTCCTCCCCATGGCCGTGGGACCCCCGCCCAAACCCCCTCTGTGTGCCAGAGAGCAAAGGCTGGGCTGGGAGCCCGGCCGTCCCCAGGCTGCCACTTGCCACAGCCTTTCCCCTTTCTCCCCGACACCTCGGGATCTGTGCGCTGAACACGGGCACGGCTCTGCAGCCCCGCACCACCACCACCA